CAGGACGATGGCGATTTATCGAGTTGTCGAGAATAACGCCCTGTCTATCTATGGTGCCCTGCATGAATGCAGTTGGTTCGTCTCGGGAAGGGGGGTAAAAGAGGAGTCACCGGGTCCGTATCGGGCCTGTGGATGGCTGGGCCGTCCTGTTGAGGCTGTTGCTTGATTGTGTCTACCATGTACGTGAGCGAGGAAGCGGGCAGACGAGATGGGAACGGCCAGGTGACTCAGCTTGCAGGGGCACGCAGGCCTAGGGGCAGGCAGACCAGACCTGAGGGCAGGCAGCTAGACACGGCAGGCAGCCTCAGCAGCAGCCTAGGTGGCTTTGGCAGCCTGAACCACACCCTGGGAAATGGTGCCATTCGCACACCTCACTGGATGGAAGGCGGGCAGGCGGGACAGAGGATGAGAGGCTACCTACCTGTGGAGCTTCCTTCATTTCCCCACTTCCACTTGGCCATCCCAGTCACCTACCGTCCGTGGTACCTACCGACCTGAGTACCTAGGTTGGTAGGTAGGGGAGATAGGTACCTAGGAGAGGTACCATGTACTGATGGAAGCTCCCTGTGGGGGAAACTCCAGCGCTTGTGCGCACCGCACTGCGCACGAGGCGCCCAGCGGTCGGCCCCCCCTGGGCCCAGGAAGGGTCAAGCCATCTTGCCTAGCACCTCATCCGCCGTCTCTCCATTGCCGCGATCAACACGACCCCCGTCTTTATCCTGACCTCTCGCTGTCTCCTCGTCCCGCTGTCTTCAAGGTGCCCATTGCCCTTCTTCTCGCCCATTGTTCGACCAAAACTTTAACCATTCTCTCATCTTCACCTGCCGCCGTCCTATTGACCTTCGAAGCCAAACTCAACTCGCGCCGCCCCGAGTGCACTCTTCGTTACCTATACCTTATCTACCTTACTGGTACTTATCTTCCTCCGAGGCCTGTCCTGGGCGTGACTCTCGGCTCCAGGCTAACGACTCCCTGAGCCCCAGCACCTGTACCTTACCTAAGGACCCTGTACACCGCTTGAATGCGTGTGACTCGATGACGGCACCCGCCTTTGGGCACATCACGAGGCTTCTGTCAACCCTTCAACAGATGACTTTCATCGAGCTCGCCCAGATCAAACACTGAGAACCGATCCCTCCGATTCAACATCCGTTACCTATTGCTGTCGCCACGACTCGCCCTTGTCATCGGCACCACCTGCAACCGACCCGTGCGCCTCCGTTATCCTTATCATCCATCATCTGCACTCCTCCGCTTCTGGGTTACCACACCCGCTTCTCGCAATCCATCATCGGCTCCCTCATCCTGCGCAACGAATCAATCGAATCGCATTCTTCAGTCTGCATACTCCATGGCTGCTCTCTAAATGCTCCCTTCAGCACCACAGACCGGCCGACGTTCTCACGGAGAAACATCATACAATACACACCCCCGACCTTGCTTCGCAAACCGCACGCTTCAGCCCTAGTGTGAGGATGGAAGAGCATGTTCCTAGGCATTTGGAGATTGATCTTGAGAATACCCCCCTGAATCCGGACCGAGCCTAACCCTGCACCCGCTCAACCCCTTGCGGGCCCGGTCACCGACATCCAGCCATGCACCAGCAGACAAGGCCGTCCCCTCGCCTCACCTCGCCCGCTTCCTCGCCCCAGACAAATCCTGCACGCACGAACAACCCGAGAGAACCAGTCATGGCCGCCCGTCCGAGGGCCGGCTCGGCAGCCTCTGGCCGCGGGTACGAGCCGCCCGCATCGCCCGCCGTTGATACAGCCCCCGGCTCGGGACCGACTGCAGAGTCATTCAAGAAACTCGACCAAATCATACAGGTAGCTAGCTACCTCACATTGGCAGGAAACTGTGGCAAGGTACTGACTCTGCTAGAACTTTCACACAAAAGCAGCCTCGGTGATCACCGAGTCCCGCATGAATCTCAAGTCCGTCTCTGCGACCAAGGGCTCCGGCAGCAAGAAGATCAATAAATGGGTATGTACACCCAGCCCGCGCTCCCCTCGATCACCGGGCTATGCGCTGACTTTGTGGCCTGCTCTAGTTCCAACTTGATACGGAAGACTTCGAAGACTTTAAGGAAGACCTTCGAATATGGAGGACCTGCAGCGCCCTCGACAACAGACCGCCGCCGCTGATCATTGAAACCTACCTCGACACATCGCGCTTGACGTCTAGCCAGAGTCTCGTCATCGTCGATGAAAATGGAAAGAGGTGGGACGTCATGGAGGCTCTCAACTCGTCCGATTCAAGCGACGACAACCCCAACCGCGTCATGCGCCGAAATACGGACGTCGTGCTGGAACGATGGCGCATCGAGCTCAAGGTCAACTCCGCTACCGGCCTCGACGAATTTGGTCCCATTCTACCCACCATCTACAAGAAGATCATTGTGTTTTTCCGTTCCCTTTATGTCACGGCACGGGTTCTTCCTGCGTGGAAGACGTCTCAGCAGGCGCTGAACAAGAGCGTCCACCCCGCATTGGAGCCGAGATGTCGCATTTTGGCCGGAGACCCAAGCTCTCGTGGGGTCGATCGCCTGAGGCACCCGTTACATGATGGCCATGGCGAAGTCGTGACCGACTATCTTTTCGCTGACCTTGAAGTGCCAGTTGGCCGCCTCGTCGCATCAGTTACCTACCGCAACGAATGCAGCTTCCGCATTGATGATGCAGAGTCTCTTCTCAGCTCGCGATTCATGGGCGTGGACGAGAATTTCTTCAAGCCCTCCATGCCGCAACGCACGCATACACGACGCGATGATGTCGAAGTCGGCTCCCTGCCATCTCATTCGCGCGGCACGGGACTCTCTGAGCTGCGCCAAACCTACGGCAGCCTGTCTACGTTTCATGGTGAAGGAGCCTTGGGTACGAGCCCGATATCTGCCTTGAAGGCAGTGAAGCCCCCGGGATCCGACACGAGCTCGCCGCCGGGTTCTAGACCCGCCAGCTTCCAGCCGAATCCGCCCAACTCGCTGCCTGTGCGACCGACTATGCGAGGATTCACCGGAGGCGGTGTTAGGCGCCCGTCTGTATCTTTCCAGCCTTTCAAGGCCGGCTCCCTTTCTGGCTCGCCAATTCCACGGACACTGGATTCTGAATCGCCAGCCTCACCAAGCTCAGCTTCTCGCGTGGCCGCTGCACTGACACAGCCGAGAAATCGCACGTCACTTACGGCCGGTATGCCTGCCTCGCTACGCGGCGGTCCCCCCTCCGGAGATGCTCTGGTAGGCTCGCCGCGACCGGTGTCTACGAGTCGATACAGCAGCAGCTTCACGCACACGCACCGAAAGGGAAGGCTTTCATTTGGCGGACAGAGCAAGGCTGGCGACGATGAACAGGGCAGCAGTGGACGAGGCAGCCTATCGTCATCCGCAGCGCAACCTGGATCGGGCCTTCTTGCCGAGGTCGGTGGCAACGCTAGTTCAGGTTCCTTGCAGACGGACGACGACCAAATCTCCGACTTTCTCAAAGCCTTGGACAGTAAGAAGACGCTCAAGAGCTTTGAACCAGCCAAGCGGGGCGAGTCAGCCACGAATAGGACCGTGGCCCAGCTGTCCAAGTTTCACGCCATGAGGGACTCGAACAATGCGCTGACGGATTCGATGACCTCGTCGCTTCAGATGCAGCGGTCCTCCAGTTCCTCTAGCCGGCAGCTCTCCAACGTGCCGAGCATGATGGCACCGGCCTCTGTGTCCCTCTCATCTTCTCCCGGCAAACCGCTTTCGCCCCACACGCCTCATACGCCTGCCGTGCCGTCGCGACTCAGCGAGAACTCGGTCATTAGATATGGCTCGAGCCGGAGTGCGCGAGCCAACGCGCCGCCGACGAGCGCAGCGGAGCTCGCCAGGGAGGACACGGTGACACAGGATGGAACGACAGCGATCGATATTCCCATCTCCCCCCGGCTCGGCACGCACCAGCGCAGATCCAGCTCTGTGGCGCAAAAGAACCGCGTCATGGCAGAAGAGGACGACGGCGATGCTGCCTTTGGAGGCAACAGAAGCATCAGCCTCGGGGCTGAGGATCGAGAGCCTCCAACGCTGAGTATGCTGTTGGGCCGCCACGCCGAGACGGGTGAATCGGCCACGGCGCACGATGCTTCGTCTCTGCAGCCGGCAGCTCAGATCAGGTCCGTTGGCTCTGTTGAGATGCTGAACCAGGGCTCGTCTGATGGCTCCAAGCCGCCGGGTGGGCTCATCTCGGCGCCTTCGAGCTCGCCGTTCGGCAGGCGGCGATACACCGGCATGGCTTCCATGTCGCCGGCGGGTCGCGGTCAGACGCCGCCCCAGTCGTCGCGGGGCAGCTTCACGGCGTCAACGACGGGCCGATATGGGCGCGGCGAGACAGAGAACCAAGACGACGAGCCACTCCTTTTCGACATGTCCGAGATGGATCCGCAAGGACGCCGCAGCCTGGAAGAGGCCCGAGGTGGCGGGCAGGCTGGTCTGGGCAGCCGCGCGGAGTATGAGCCGCGCGGGGTGTCCCGTAGAGGATGGTGAAAGACGTTCGGCGAAGAGCCGTACCGTTCTCTCTTGCCCGCGCGTGGCTGCTGTTGTGCGTTGCTTCGCAGAGACTGTGCGAAACGCGCGTCTGACGGCAGGGCTGATCCATTGCCCCCAGATGTTTCTAGGATGAGGGACTGTTGCGGTCGGCGTCGGCTGGGAGTTTGATCTACATGTATGCTCACTCACATAGCGGTGTGCCTCGGGGGTGTTTTTTTATTTTATTTTGCATGTCATTCCATATCTCATGGCGGGAGACAGATATTGGGTTTTTTTCTCTCTCTCTTATATTTATTTCATAAGTCGTCAGGAGACGGCGACTCGGAGTCGGGAGTGGTTTGGGCTTTGGGTGTGTGTGGATTGTGGATTGTGGATTGTGGAAAGCGAGGGGTAAATGCACCGGACCAGGACGGGCCGTTCTGATACGCAGCAGCACATAGAAAGAATGAATGCATGTACGATGAAAACTGCGGGATGGTGAGAGCCAGAGATGTCCGATTCGCTACGTTTCCTCTTCCTCCTCCTCTTCCTCTTCCTCCTCCTCTTCCTCTTCCTCTTCCTCTTCCTCCTCCTCTTCCTCTTCCTCCTCCTCTTCCTCTTCCTCTTCCTCTTCTTCAAGCACTTCCTCAAGCAAGGAGGACGGCATGTTGAGTGGCGGGACCGCGTCAGGTGTGGCGGCAGCGGAGGAGGATGTGGCGGTGCTGTGACGAATGAACCAAGCCTCGTTCCCCCCGCCGACCCAGCGATGACGACGAAGGAAAGGACAGTCGGGTGCGCGTACGAGCTGGCGAGGTCCAGTTCCACCCCCAACCCGAGACCGAGCCAACAGCGACCGCCTTCCTGGGAGGCTCAGCTGCCAGGCTGCGTCTGCCTTTACCTGCCTACCACAATCACAGCCCTCCTACCTTTGCATTTTACCAGAATCAATCTCCTCTACCTTCTGTCCTCTGCAGCGACACAACTTGTTTGCATTTCGCAATAGGACCGTGTCAGCTTGGGACAACACCGAAACAGCAGCGAGGAGTTCCCCAACGCCCAAGCTCGTGAGGTTGCTGCTTCCCAGCAGAGTCCGTACGGCCCAGGCAGCGACCGTGGGTTATTGTTCAGTCCACAACCCGCCAGGCTGCACCTCTCTTCTTCGCCCAACGTCCATCATGTTTCGAGCTGCCGCCGCTGGCCCCTACGATGAGGGCATCGGTATGTTTGTTTGTTCCCACGTGCTTCCGCGCCCGCCGTCACTGTGTGTCTCTGTGTATCGGCTGCTGACCTGCTGCCCCGCCCACAGCCAAGGCGACCGACGAGAACCTCACGTCGGAGGACTGGGGCGCCATCATGGAGCTCTGTGATCGCGTGACGACCGACACGAATGGCCCCAAGGAGGCCGTCCAGAGCATGATCAAGCGGTTGGCGCACCGCAACGCCAACGTGCAGCTGTACACTCTCGAGGTAAAATGAGCCCATGGCCACCACAGCCCCTTGGAACCTCGTGCTGATGAAGAGTAGCTCGCAAACGCCCTGAGTCAGAACTGTGGAAAGCCCATCCACCGCGAACTCTCGAGCCGTGCCTTCACCGACGCCCTTCTCAAGCTGGCCAACGACCGCAACACCCACACCCAAGTCAAGGCCAAGATCCTCGAGCGCATGAAGGACTGGTCCGACATGTTCAGCAAGGACGCCGAGCTCGGCATCATGTACGATGCCTACTACCGCCTGAAGCAGACCAACCCGACACTCCAGCCCCCTTCCGCCCCCCAGAAGACGGGCCTCACCGACGTCGACCGCCGAAAGGAGGAGGAGGAGCTGCAGATGGCCCTGCAGCTGTCTCTGCAGGATGAAGAACGCAAGGGCAAGAGCCCCGAACCGAGCAGCAGCCACGCTGGGCCCTCCTCGTCGGGCGCTGGCGCCGGCACGCCGGGCGCAAGCCAGCCCCTACAGCAGCAGTCGACACCCGTTCCCGCTGGCACCACGGCGGCGACCGTCTCGAGGGTGCGCGCGCTCTTTGACTTTGTGCCGTCCGAGCCTGGTGAGCTGGAATTTAAGAAGGGCGATGTCATTGCGGTCCTAGAGTCTGTCTACAAGGATTGGTGGCGCGGGTCCCTCAAGGGCAAGACCGGCATCTTTCCTCTCAACTACGTCGAGAAGCTGACCGACCCGACACCGGACGAGCTCGCGCGGGAGGCGCAGATGGAGGCTGAAGTGTTCGCGGAGATTAAGAATGTCGAGAAGCTGCTCACCCTGCTGAGCACGTCCAACACGGCGCCCAAGGAGGAGGACAATGAGGAAATCTCGGTAAGTCTGGCGAGAAGGAGGCCGCTCATGATCGCGCCGCTGACCGGAACCAGAAGCTCTACCACCAGACCCTCGCTATCCGACCAAAATTGATCAAGCTCATTGAGAAGTACTCGCAGAAGAAGGGTATGCACATCACAGAGCCTGTTCCAGTATCACATGTACTGACCCCGTGCTGCAGACGACTTTACGCAGCTCAACGAAAAGTTCATCAAGGCGCGCCGCGATTACGAGGCTCTGCTGGAGTCCTCCATGTCTCACCCACCTCAGCCCAGCTACCACCAGTACGCGATGCGACCGGCACAGGGTGGCTACCCAGGAGGGCCACCGCAAGCTCCAGGAGGCCCTGGTGGCTACGCTCCCCAAGGTGTGCCTCAAGGGCCGCCCCAGGGCCATCCCCAAGGCCATCCCCAGCAGCAGGAGCAGAGATACTACACTCCTGCACCGCAAGGTGAATTGCCTTGATCTCTGCCATGCCGACCCATGAGTTTTGACAGCATTGTACATAGAACAACCGCAATACCCTCCCCAGTCCAGTCCATCGCCCAACTTGCACCGTCCGAGCCAGCCTACCCCGGCGCCCTTCTACGTAGCAGGTTCCGAAGTCCCCTCGCACGGCGGCCATCCCGGACCGCAGCCCTCCTATCCTCACCGTGACCCGACGCCTCGTCTGCCCTCCAACGGAAGACCGCCCGAGCCCATCAACACTTCGCCTCCCCCGCCCCAGAATGCCTACAGCTCCTATACTCACCCCCCTGACCAGCGCCAGAGCACCTACGGTGCCCAGGAACTCGCCACATCCGTCTATGATTCCCCGATTGCACCTCACAACCCCAACTCGACTGCAGCCTATTCGACTTTGACGAACTATGCGCCTGATGACCAGTACAAACAACACAATGCCAGCCAGGGCGCACCGCAGTCACCGCAGCACCAACCCTCACAGCCTCAGTACCACAGCTACCAACCGCCTTCAGCACCACCCGGTCAAGATCACTACGGAAGCGCTCCCTCTCAGGCGCCACCGCCCATCCCCACGGGCGCCGCTCCATCCGCGCCCGCTCCGCTACAGCCGGCAGGCTCGGCATACGACGCCAGGCAGGGCCTACCGAGCCAGACGGGCACCTCGCCGCAGCCTCAGTACAAGGCGTACGTGCCGCCTGGAGGACCGCCGCCCAACGAGGGGCCCAGCGCGCCGCCAAGTGATTACTACCGCCAGCCTGGCGTGTACTAGGAGTGACGTCTTGAGTGCGTCTAGATAGCCAGGCTTCCTCATGTGGTATTTCGCGTTGCATTCGTCTTTTGCAGCATGACAGGGTGTCATCACCGCTGTGAGGCCAGGGTCGAGCGATGGACGATGTTGGCGAGCATTATTGTGGCCTGAGTATACGAGGGACGATGCTTGTCTGTACCATAGTCCTTGATGTTTTGACATTGCTTTTGTTCTTGCACTCATGACCTGGGGGCTTTTTGACATTTTGGAGAGATCCGCAGACCCAGACGGGCTGCTGCATTTTTTCGGTAGTTGAAGTAATCATTTCACAAATGGTAATGACGAACGGATGCGGTTTCCATGATATGTGATGTATCTAGCCGAGTCTGGCTTGATATGGGGTTTCTTCAAAGGTCAGATACTGGAGTGTTGTCTCTTCAGTTGTTTTCCGCGGGCTAGATGTGGAATCAATAGTTTGGCTGAAAGAGGACATGGACTCCCCAATGTCGTTTTTAAATTTATCCATCATCTCGACGAGTGCCTGTTTTCGGAACGCCAACGCTGTCCAGCTTGCAACGATATGGATGTACCCTGGACGCCAGCTGGTGATTTCATTCGCAGTCACGACGCAGAACGGATGGAGAGCCTGGTATATCAATTTCGCCGACGACGCAGCGCTCGATTAAAGGTCGTGTATTCAGGACAATGTTCAGTGCCAACGCCCGACGCCTCGTCACCCTGTATTTTCCCAATTGGCAATGTTCATGGACTTCATCCTCGTTCCCATCATGGCTAGGCCCCCAAACGACGCGACACAACGACGCGACACAACAACGCGCGCCACGACCTACCACCGCCGTCCGTAGACCTCATGCTCCGGCGTCGCCCTCTGCTTCCTGGCCGCCGCGACGTTCCTCCGGCCCTCGGGCTCGGGCTCGAGCTCAGGCTCGGGCTCGACGGCGGCGGCGTGGTTGTCCCTGCGGAACAGGTCGAGCATCTCGCGGAGGCCAAACTTGATGACGTCCTTCTTCATGCCGCCCTCGATGGCCGTCTGGGCGAGCAGGCGCTTCTTCTCCTGCAGCGCGAGGATGCGGTCCTCGACTGTCGCCTCGACGATGAGGCGGTAGACTACGACGTCGATGGTCTGCGTCAGGCGGTGGACGCGGTCGATGGCCTGCTCCTCGACAAACTGGCGCTCTGTTAGCAAGTCTCCCCCTAGTAATCTCTCCCCCTCGTCACGGTTTGTCAGGGGCCACGCACCGGGTTCCAGAACGGCTCGACAATGATGACGCGCGTTGCGGCCGTGAGGTTCAGGCCCAGGCTGCCGCACTTGAGGCTGCACAGCAGGATGCGCGTCTTGTCGTCGTTCCTGAGCCGGTCGAGGCTCGCCTCGCGCTCGTCGTTCTTCATGCCGCCGTCGTAGCGCGTGAACCTGAGCCCGTCCTTGCGGAAGAAGGGCTCGATGAGGTCCATCATGGACGTGAACTGCGAGAAGACGATAAACTTGTGTTCGTGCACCTCCTTGTGCAGGATCTGCATCATTTGTCGAATCTTGGCCGAGGCGAGGATCTGGCTCGCCGGGCCGCCGCCGCGCCGGCCGTGCGCGTCGTCGTCCGACTGCAGTTCGGATTCGTCAATGCCCGTGTCTTCGTCCGAAGACGTCTGCGAGGCGGAGTCATCCGAGTCGGATGCTGCCGATTGTAATGTTCGCTCCTCCTTCTTGGCTTGGACCTGCGAGGCGATTTCTGCCACGGACGCAAAGCTGTCGTCCGATTCAGAGTCGGAACCTGCCTCGGCCTTGACCGCTCGCTTTTCGTCGTCGACGATGAAGCTATCGAGCTGCGTGCTCTCGTCTGCCCGGGACGACTCGTGCAACGAGTCCTCGGTGCCCAGCCACTCGCCGCCGCCCTCGCAGTTCTCGTCCTTGTCGCCGCCAGCTTTGCCGAGTCGCAGTTGGCCTCGCTGGTCCTCGGGGACGAGCCAGCTGCCCTCGTTCTCTTCTTCTTCCTCATCTTCATCGTCGCTGTCGATCACGGTGCGCCGATTCCTTGGCCTTCGCGACTTCGTCTGGACCGGCGACGCAACCTTGACCGTCTCGACAATCTTCTTGACCTTGGGCTTTTTGCTCCTTGGCTTCTTGTCCCTGGCCGTCTCGTTCTCGTTAAAGTAGGCCAGATCGTCGAGGCACTCCTGGCACGTGTCCTGGTCCGTCTTGGGCGCGTCGCGGGGCAGGTCGCGGCCGCAGATGCCGCACGTCTTGGCGACGATGCCCATGCCGCCAAACATGTCGGCAAGCGAGTCCACGTCGGCGGCGGCGTTCTTCTGCGAGGCGTCCCCCGACGACAGCGCGTCCTTGTCCTTGTCGAGCTTGCCCGCCACCAGCTTCGGGTGGTTGCACGCCTGGCGCAGGCGGAGCAGCAGCACCAAGGCGTTGGCGTAGTTCATGTTGCCCTGCATGCGCTCGAGGCTCTCGTCGGTGCGCGCCTCGAGGCGGTCGTAGAAGCGGCGCTCGGCGGGCGAGAGCTTGCTGGCGACCGTGACGACCTTGCGCTCCGTGACCTTGAAGCCCGTGCTCGACTCGTCGCCCTCCTTGGTGGGCTTGCCGCCGGGGTTCAGGGCGCCGTCGACCTTGAGTATGTCTTTGGTGCGCCGCTTCATGAAGCACCGGAGCAGGCTGTGCAGTCGCCGGATGGCAATGTGCCCCTTGCCGTTCTTCAGCGGCTTTTCGATCTGGTCCTTCCACTCGGCGAGGTCGTCGTAGGGCCGGATGCGCAGGAATTGAATGAGGGACTGCAGCTCCTCGAGGTTGTTCTGCATCGGCGTGCCCGACAGACACCACCTGTACTCGGCGCGCAGCGCACAGCAGGCCTTTGTGGATTTGGCATTGCGGTTCTTGATGGTGTGGGCTTCGTCGAGGACGACACGCCACCAGTGCAGCCCGAAGCAGCCAGCCTTGACGCCATTGTCGGCATCGGACGAGTGGCCGTGCTCGGAGACGAGGATCTGGTAGGTGGTGACGACGACGTCGTACATGGCGAGGTCCTTGAAGCGCTTGGTCCGCTGCGGGCCGTGGTGCACGCACACCTTGAGGCCGTGGGACCGCTCGACCTTGTCCTTGATCTCGGCCTCCCACTGGCGGATCAGAGCCAGGGGCGCGACGACGAGCGTCGTCTTCTCGACGCCTTCAAAGTGCTTCTTCCAGCCCTTCTCCTTGTCGTCCTTGGGCGGCTTCTGGTTGCTCAGGATGAGGGAGATGGTCTGCAGCGTCTTTCCGAGGCCCATGTCGTCGGCGAGGATGCCGCCCTTGGGCACGCGTCCCTTTTTGACGGGGCCGAGCTCGCGGCCCTTCATCCACTCGACGCCCTCGACCTGGTGGGGCAGCAGCTTGACGCGGAGACCGTCGAGGGAGCCGTCGTTGCGGTCCTTGCCGTCCTTTTTGTCTGCCGGCTTGTTCTTCTTCTTCTCCTCTGGGCTCCCCTCCTCGTCCTCGTCCTCGTCCTCGTCCTCGTCCATGCCGCCCTCGAGCAGCGCCTTGAGGTCAGACGTGGCCTTGGTAGGGTCTGTGTAAAAGTCGGGCTCGCCAAAGCGTCCGGCGGCGGGCGCCTTGTAGGTGGCAGGATGGGCGTCGGGCCCGATGGAGCGGAAGAGGTTGAGGGGTTCGGGCTTGCGGTCCTGGTAGATGGGCACCGAGGGGACGTTGATCCTGTGCTTGTCGTCCCTGTGGTGTTCGGGGCGGGCCCTGCGCTCGTTGAAGATGCCGTGGGCCTTTTGCTTGAGGGACGACATCATCTTGGTGGGGTGGCCAAAGGCGTGGCCGTGGCCGTGGGCGTGGCCCTGCGACGAGGGCGCGCCGAAGGGGTCGCGGCGGTCGGAGAAGAAGGCGCTCAGGGCATCGTCGCTGTCGGTGGGCCTGTCGCGCGGTGCCTTGGCTGGCGGAGGCGGCGCCTTGACGGGCGGCGGGCCTGTCTTTTCTGCCCGCTTGGCGCCCGAGTTGGCTGTCGAGGGTTGTTGGGGGGCGGTTTGGGAGGCGCCGTGGGTGACGCGCAGGGCGTCGAAGCGGGCGGTCAAGGCATCGGGGTCAAAGTCTGACGAGGCTGGCCTGTCGGGGCGGCTGGCGCCAGGCTGGGACTCTCGGTTGTCATGGATCGGGCGTGATGGGCCCCTGGGGGGCGCTCGCTCGTTGACCATGGTGATGGCACGGACGGTGATGTGATGGCGGGGTGATTGTGTGTTGGACCGTGGCTTTCGAGGGGATTTGGTAAAGTCGGGCTCGGCCTCGGAGGCAATGGTGTTTCGGGGTTGGAAAGCAAAGCCCGCACCTGGTTTTCTGCGGGGGGGGATTGGTGTCAGCCTTGTGCCTTGTGCCTTGTGCCTTTAGACGAGGGGCATGTTGGTGGTTGACGATGCAGGGACGGAGGGGTCCGTGTTTGGGGCATTCGTGACCTACTTCATCAGCAGAGGGGCGTGACAGTTGATTCAGCTGCTGAGGCGTTGTCTGGGTATACAAGGGGCAAGCAAGATCCAGCTGCTGTTTGTGAATTGTGTCGCGCTGGTCAACGCGTAGTGGGATGGAATAGGCCTCTGAAGTAGCCTCTGGAAGTAGCCTCTCATGACATAATTTTGCCCCAGCAACGGCCTCGAGCAACAACAGCCCCTCCGCCTGTGCCGCCCCCAAGGCTCAAGGTACGGGTACCCAAGGGTACCTTACCCATGTACCTAGGTACGTACCTCCATGTACTCTAGGTACGTACCTCCATGTACCCTAGGTACGTACCTCCATGTACCCTAGGTACGTACCTCCACGTACCTTCGGCTGCCAACGACCATTGAGCGCCTTCCCCTTTCACAGCAAAGTATCACCAAAGCAAGCACGCCAGAGTCAATCAGCCTTGTGCCCAAAGTCAATTCCCGCCCTCCATATCCGTGTCCATCAATATGCGACGCCTACCCAATAAATCAAAGCTGTCCATAGCGCTCAATGGGCAATGGGCGTAAATATCGACCACACCCCAATCGACGTACGCCCCTGCATCCCAAAGAGGTCCGCTGCCGTGAATGGCCCATCCCCAGTACTTATAAACCCATGGAAACACACCAGAACCGCTCCCTCACCATTCCGACCGCAGTCTCTTCAACGGCGAGTGCGCGACACCATCAGCATCCACAGGACGCTTGTCTCCGACCTGGGGGTGACGCCGCGGCGAATCTTCGCCATGGTCACCTCCACCATCATGTGTATCGTCGCCCTCCATCGGTCCATCGTCGTTCTCCATCGGTCCATCGTCGCCCTCCATCGAATCAACCTCTATAGAGTCGGTTCGGCCTTGAGAACCAGTATGCCGGCCTGACGTGTCATCAGAGCTGCTCTCGTCGGCGTCCTCGTCGGCGTCCTCGTCGGCGTCCTCATCGTCACTGCCTGCCGTGAGATCGACCACGGCGCCAAGGTCCAGCTGCGACCGCACCTCGTGACTCGTCACCCGCCCACCGCCAATCTGATCCGCGACGCGAGCGTGAAAGTCGCTTGCCGTCGTCTCCTGCGTCTGCGCCCGCATAGGCCGCGCGAGCCTCTGCATGCCCCGTCCCGAGACGAACAGCGAGCCCGACGACGCGCCAGACACGGTCGAAGCGGCAACCGACGACGACCGCCGTGAAACAGCTACGCCCGGCGGAGGACGCATCGCCAGTGCCACGGGATGGGTCGTCATGGTGGTCGGGCCGAGACTGACGCTGCGATGGTTGTTCTCGACGTCATCGTCATCCAGATGGATAGGGTTGGCCGCATCAGACCCGGCGTGCGATGCAGCCATCGAAGCGGTATCCAAGCCGCCATCCGACTCACCGTCAGAGCCGCCCGCAGTCTCGTTTTCGTCATGGGCTGCACTGTCGACGCCGACATGTCCTACGCGGGGTCCCGCCTCAGGAATGCTACCGCTGCGCTTGCCAAATGTCCGTCTCGGCTTTGGCCGCGGCGCAGCCTGCCTGTCTCCACCGCCTGGTCCATCGTCATCCGAGTCACTCCCAGAGTCCGAGCTGTCGGAGCTGTCGGAGCTGTCATCGCTTCCTGAACTGTCGTCACCATCGGGATCCGAATCGTCACCGTCCACGTCCTGCTCCAGCTGCTGCATGGCGTCCACGAGGCACTGGCCGCCAGAATCAAACGGCATGGACTCGTCGTACCACTGCTGGACGACCTGAAAGAGCACGTCCGAAACGGCACCCCGCGGCACGGCCGACATGTCGTCCAGACGCCGCAGCTGCGCGTTGAGCTTGTCCGTGGGACTCTTGGGCATCCGCACGTTGTTCTCGACATCCATGTAGAACCCCTAGTCCCTGATGGGATGTCGACCGCCCATGGTGCGGTACTTTTCAATGTCGTAGAAGAGAATGTGCCGGATGCCGCGCAGCCCGTAAATGTAGTCTTGCCCCTGGAGGGTGCGCAGCGCGCGGAAGCTGGCATTGTTGGGCTGGAGCTTGGTCTTGTCGGCGAGCCACGTGCGGACCTCGGGCAGCTCGTGGGGGCGACGCCGGCGTCCCCGGCTCGACTCGTCAATGTGGATCACGACCGTCTTGAGGCGACGCATGTTCAGCAGCGCCGACGCATCGTACGTCCGCCGCGACGTCCACTGGCCTCTGCTGTTGGGCCTGAACGTGAGCGTCTGGTTGCCCTGCCACAGGATCTCGATGTGTTGGATCCGCTGCGCCCGCGCGCTTCCAATGCCTCTGCAAAACCGTCCAAACTCCCCGAGGCTGGAAAAGGCAAACGTGTTGAGTCCGTAAAAGGCGTGGACGCCGAGGAAGTGCACCGACTTGGACACCAGCAGCATGGAGAGCATGTCGTTCGGCTTTGTAGCGTACTCGATGCTGCACGTTCCACCGCGTCCAGTCCAGAACCGCTTGGGCAGGTTGCTCGAGCCCCGCCCTGGGGTGTGACGGAGGGGGCCCCGAGGTTCACAATGGGGGTCCAGTCGTGAAATGCAATGAACGAGGCGGCCTGGATATTCCAGCACCAGCCTGACGATGGCAGCCTGAATCTCCGGCGGCATGGCATTGAAGGAGCGACGAGGACGTTCCTTTTGATGGCCTTGTGTTTCTACGACAAAGAGCTCTTCGTCCACGTGATGAGGCGCGTGCGTAGCCTGCGTGACAACTTGGTCAACCACGTTGCGAGCCGCATGATGACCAACAGGATTGTCGCCCGTCTCGTTGTTCTCTCCAGGAGCATCGCCGTCCGGCGTGAGCAGTTCGGCCGCCAGCTCTTCGCTGTCCGGTTCCCGCAGCTTCAGGTCGAGTGCAGCAGGCTGCTCTGGTGCTCATGGTCTCCTCTCGCACATGCGCTTGTAGATCACATGGTACTCCTCCGCCATCGGATCGCCAGCTAGGAACGCGCGCAACATGGCGGGCCAAGTCTGCACAAGGAACACGGTCAGTCCGATCACGAGATGCTCGGTTGCAGGGTTGAAGGAGTCTTACCCTCTGGGTACGCTGCCTAGGATTCCTCGACCGGTTCAATTGACGCCTCAAGTCGTTGTTGTTGGCCTGAAGTGTCTCGATCATCCCCTCAAGCTGCGTGATTCTCTCACGTAACTGGTCCTTGTCGTTGGTGAGACCCTCGTTCTCATCCCCAAGTCGTAGCACCTCTGTTCTCAGTTGTGCAATCTGTTCGCGGAGGACTCCAACGAGGTCGGACTCATCATCATGGCTCATGTCGTCGTCCTCCTCCTGCTCGTCGTCGTCGCTGATTTCCACGATGCCATCATCGGTGACGTCCGAATCAAGGGGGTCGTCGTCCGCGTGAGTCCCGGCGGCCACGGCATCCGCTATGCTGCCCCGCTGGGCTCGCTCCAGTGCCTCGGGTCCCGGCCCAGCTTCTTCGGCTGGTTGGTCATCGGTGCCGTCTGGACCCTGGGTGTCAGCACCAGAGAGCAAGTCGTTCATCTCCTCGTCAGTGAGGCCACAACCTGCGGCAGACATGGTAGAGGGGGCTGAGCTGGCCGCTCAATGTCAAATATGTGCAATATATGGTAAATGTGAAGAATCCGGATCAGGAGTGATCAAGATGCATGAGCTTGGAGTCGCTGAGCGTGTAAGAAGAAGTGATAGATGCTGCGAGATGTTTGATATCGGAAGTGTTAAGAACGCAATGTAAAGATGTGATCAAGATGTTGGATGGGACGGGAGAGGGGCAAGGAGGGAAGGGATGTTTTATGAAGATGAGTAGATGTGACAGGAAAGAAAAGGCGATTAGGGGGACCCCAGTGAAGAAGAGAGCCCGGAGTGAGTTGCTGCTAGGTCGAGAAGATATGGTAAAAATATGATTGCGTCTGACTTTAGAAGGCAAGGCCAGTATGCATGACTTCAGTTTGTGAAGTGATGCTCCTGCCCTAGTAGATTTGAGGGCAAGAGATGAACGCAAGACAGGACTCAGAGGAAGCTGAACTGGATATGAGCAGGAAGACCTTGCACCGCGCTGACTGTGATGAGTCTGGGCAGCAGATAAGGGAGCTCAGAGGTTGGCATCAGTAGAGAGCATGGATGCAGTGTAGGAAGATGCTGCTCTCCACTCGCAGGGCTGCTGCGGTCCAAATCGAGGAGGTGAGGTAGACTAGAGAAGCAGCGTAGGTAAGGTAAGATGAGGCTGGGTAGAATAAATAAGTAAGGTAAGAATATGTCAAGTAGATGGGAAGAGTGAAGTCAAGAGCGTGAAGGAAGGGAGAGGTCCAGTAGGAGGATGAGGTGGGAAGGCGTGAATAAGAAGAAGTGCGGTTGGAAGGTGAGGTTGGAAGGTGAGGCAGGAAGAGGTAAATAGGAGGAGGCGAGGTGAGAAGAGGTAATGAGAAGAGGTAAAATCGGAAGAGGTCAAATCGGAAGAGGTGAGGTTGGAAGGTAAGGTAGGAAGGATGGGGTCTGAAGAGTTACAATAGAAGAGGTGAGGTTGGAAGGTAAGGTAGGAAGGATGGGGTCTGAAGAGTTAAAATAGAAGAGGTGAGGTTGAGAGGATGGGGTTGGAAGAAAGAGGTAGGGAGGTGAGGTCAGAAGAGGTAAAATAGGAAGAGGTGAGATTAGAAGGCGAGGTAGAGAGGCAAAATAGGAAGAGGTGAGATTAGAAGGTGAGGTAGAGAGGCAAAATAGGAAGAGGGGAGGTTAGAAGGTGAGGTTGGAGGGTGAGTAGGAAGAGGTAAAATAGGAGGTGAGGCAGAGAGACAAAGTGAGGATATAGTGTACGAAGGATATACCCAGGAAGGAATAAGTAGAAAGTGGCAGAGCAAGTGAGGTGAAAGGCAAGTAGGAAGAGACAGTCGAGACGCAGAGTAATAAGGTGGAAATACCTGCGGCAGGATTCCACGCCGAACTGAAGCACTGCGCCAAGATGTGCAGAACGACGTGATGGTGCCATGAAGTACCGGAAGCCCTGACAGGTTCGGCAAGGCAGACATGTCTACTCGGAACCCCTGTACGTAGAGCGCCCACAAGAAATGGCAAGCAAGAAGTGCCTGCTCAGAAGGCAGATCGAGTCTCAATGTTGCAGAACGCACATCAAGTCTAGATGTGCAACCAGCAACTCCAGAAAACACTGGTATTCGGCAGCTAAAACGTAATCTTGGTGCCCTGGAACGCCGCGCTCTGCAGCGCCTCCTTCTCCCTCTTCCGCGCCTGCCAGCTCGGGTGCAGCTCGCCCTGGTCATCCTTGCTGAGCATCTTCAGTCTCCTCCTCTCCTTGCGGTTCATGACGGGCCTGGGCGCGTGGCCGCCCTTGGCGCCCTTGGCGCCCTTGGCGCCCTCCTTCTCCCCGGCGCCCTCCTTCATCCAGGGTTTCCGCCCCTTGCCCTCGGCGCTGTCGACGGCACCCCTCTTCATGTCCCAGCCGTCGTCGCGGCCGCCCTGCTGCTTCTTCTTCTTCTCGTTCCGCACGTGGTTCGCCATCTCGCCGTGTTTGCGCTCGGCAATGGCCTGGCGCTGCCGCTGTCCGAGGCGCTTCTTGGGCGGCGCCACGTCGACGTCCGACGCCGACTCGGAGCCGGAGAAGTAGCCGCCCATGAGAGACGGCAGGAAGGTGGTGGCGCCGGCCTTGACGGGTTTGGGCTCCTTCGGCTGGCGCGCGGGCGCCGCCGGCGGAGGGGCGGCGTCGGCCTCGAGCATCCTGCGGCGCTCGCTGTTCATGCCCTGCTGGTCGTCCTGCTCCTGCTCCTGCTCCTCCGACTCCGACTCCGACTCGGCTTCGTCAGGCTCGTCTTCGTCTTGGTCCATCTCCTCGAGGTCATCGAGATCATCCACGTCGTCGCTCTCGTCGTCGGCGTCTTCCGTGTCTGGCTGCTGTCCCAGCAGAGCGCTGTACTTGGGCGCGCATCGTCTCGACATGCTCCTCTTCGTCGTCGGAGCTTCCCAGCATGTCCGCCATCTTGGAAAG